AGGGAAAGATGTACTAGATACTTAATTCAGAAGTATGTAGCTTATGGGAAGCTATCCTCAGTCTATAGAGCTTTTGTATCTAACTTTATTAGTGTGCAGTTTTCTAAATTTATTCATAAAGTTGTTGAAAATTCATTATAGTGGAAATCAGTTGAATAGGAGATTCGAGCACTAAAACATAAGAATCGTAAATTCTTATTAAACTTTCGTAGGATAGGAAGTCAGTTGGTTGTAAATGGGTGTTCAGCATCAAATGCAAAACGTTTGCTGGTATTGAAAAACCTTCACACCAATTGTCAAATCGACCACTATTAGAGTTCTCATTTCAGTAGCAGTTAATAAGGAGTGGAGATTGCATCAACTTAGCATAAAAAATATTTTTTCTGAAAGGGGATCTAGAAGAAGACTTGTACATGGAGATATCAACTTGAAATTAATTCCAATAAACATCTAGTATGCAAACTCGAGAAGTCCCTCTACGGGCTTAAGCAATCGCCAAGGGCATGGTTTGAAAGGTTTGCTAAAATTATGAGATCTAATGGATATTCTCAAGGTCAAGCTGATCATATACTGTTCATCAAAAACACTTAGGGACGTAAGAATGTTGCACTAATAGTTTATATGAATGATATAATTCTTACTGGTGATGATGAAAGAGAAATTCTCAATAAAAAAAAAAGTGTTTGTCACTAAGTTTGAAATTAAGGACCTAAAAACCATGAGGTACTTTTTAGGTATGAAAGTAGCAAGGTTCAAGAAATAAGTTATATCACAGAAGAAATACATCCTATATTCACTAAAAGAAACAAAGATGATTGGATGCAAACCCGATGATACTCCAATAAATCCCAACAAGAAGTCTAATAGGGAGAAGAAAATATATCTCTGGATAAGGGAGCATATTAAAGATTGATAGAAAACTAACTAATTTGTCACACATTAGGATAGATATTGCATACTCTGTCAGCATTATGATCCTACACATGAATAATCCAAACGAAGAACATTTGGAGATGGTGGACAGGATTCTGAGGTTTCTCAAGAAGACTTTTCGTTATAGATTCATTTTTGAAAAAAATTAGAAACAAAAAGGTAGAAGTTTACTTTGATGCTAGTTGGGCGGGGGAACACTGACAGAAGGTCCACTACAGGTTATTGCTCTTCTGTATGGGAAAATCTTGTTACATGGAGAAGTAAGAAGCAAGTTTTTGTTTCTATGCACTGAATCGATGATCTTGTTTCCACAAGACACCATGTTCTTGCAGGTTCTGCCAATTTTGTGATCTCGATTGCAAGATCTATGTGATTTCAAGATTCCACAAGCAGAATCGAACTCGCGTGATTCCACTAGTTGCAAAATCGTTAGTCTTCCTAAATCCATCCACCTCAGTACTCCCAAATCCATCATCGCCTAGATTTTTGTTGTTTCTAGTTTATTTCTTATTTCTTTTATTCTAATTAGAGTGCATTTCTAGTAGAAACTATTTATATGTTTATATTTTGCAGGTTTAGCAGATTTTATTTATTGTTGTTGTTTTCCATACGTCATTCTCTGTGTTATGCTTTTTGAAGTGTTGTATTCTTCCATTTGCAAGTGGTGTATATATATCTTGCTTAGGAGCAGGTGGTTTATCCTCCTTGTCATCTGTTTATCATCATTTTGGAGTTCATTTTGTTGTTTTCTGCCAGGACAACCGCCAAACAATGCCTATCCCATTCTAAATGTCATTGATCTTACTTATTATCATTTCTTTGTTATTACACAACCACCTCCCTTCTAAATCCACTTCCCTAACACCTTCTAGAAGCTCTAGAACAATATTATTTAGTATTAGAGCTTGACAAACCTTAAATTTTAAAGATTTGTCCTTCCCACACCTATAGTAATTTTGATAGCTACTTCACTGTCACAAAACATATGTATAGGCCTATTTGAGCTACACCCTAGTTCTTTTAACAATTTTTTAATACAAATCTCTTCATAGATTCCCAAGGTGAGTGTCCTATACTGTGATTCTGCATTGCAGCACTCTCCCGCATCAAGGCGTATTATCATCAAATCACAAATGAGTCCTGCATTAGTCACTTAGGCTCAACACGCGGTGCATGAGAGGAGAATAAGACATTATTGCAGAGTAATATTTTTGCGACATGTTTGTGGTTTCATCTTTATCAGTTGTTCTGTTAGAAACTAGGAATGGGCTAATAATTACTTTTGTTTTGTATAACATGATTACTCTTATCTCCTCTTCCGTAGACATAGGTTTTTTGAAACGGAACCACACAAATCTTGAACTTTATAGTTATTTTCTCTCTTTTGTAATTGTTTGTGACACATTGTTCTCGATTATGGTAATAATTTCACATCATTTTTTTATTTTTGGAGCTCTCGTTACAACACATGGAAGTATTGTTTATTACATAAAGTTGCAAGTTGATTTGGCTCACGGGTTTGGCAATTTTAGTAAGCAACATGGTTGAATGTTAGCTATTCGATAATTCAACTTAGAAGAGACAGAATACAAAATATATAAATTAAATAACAAAGATTTACATACATTATTTACATATCTAACACCTAAACTTCAATTTTTACAAACATAACACCTTATCTATTAATGGAAAGGTGTGCTTCACATTTTAAAAGTTAAAATGGTGGTATTTTGAAAATTAAAACGTAAAATGGTTGCATCTTTTTGTGATATGAAAGATTTGGTTGGTATAAATGTAAATAACAAAGTTTAGGTGTTAAATATGTAAATGCATAGGAATTGGGTGGTATGTATGTAAATGCCCCATTAAATAATCATCAGAAGTACAGAGTTGATGTGACAATTGGACTGAAAGCTTTGTATACCTATGCTGCTGAATGCAGCATAGCAATCATATATCTCGGACAGTTTGCTCATTTACCTGCACCTTGTTCTCTTCTGACAATATATTTCATTGGCAGTCGCTTCGTGCGAAATCCGAGCAGTCTTTTGCCAGTGGTCAAGTTGAAAATATGGATTCTTCTGCGGCAATGAAACAAGCTATTTCTTTTACCCTGACTGCAAAAGTAGGATGGATCTCCCTTGTTGTTTCTTCTCTGTGCTAAGTCTTTGTTTTAAAGTCATGCAAACATACAATAAAATCCTCCCTCTGCTATTTCAGGGTGCGTTCGTAAGGGAAATTCTTCTCGAGGAATTTGCCAAGGTGATCCTTAGTTGTTTTGTAGTATAATTTTCTGAGTTCAGTTGCATTCTGAAAAATTGTTACACCTTTGTATTAACAATGAAACTGTTGCATTTTCTTATGTTAAATTGCATTTATTTTCCCAGGTGACATTTGATGTTTATTGTAAGCTCATGTTTTCGAGTATTTTCTGCTTTGGTTCCAACTTTATGATTTCCCCTCCAAAAGGTCCCAACTGTTATCAGTTCCAATAAGAAGGGCTTAAATGGAAAAATCACTGATGGAAATAATCAACAAAACATATTCTTTGACTAATGTATACCAATTTTCCTAATTCTGAATGTTGTGATTAATGAAATCAGCACTAAGGACTTCAGTCTGTGGTCTTTTCATTGATCTCTTACCGTGTGATACCTGAGTTAACCCAAGCCACAACGAAAAAACAAATATTACTGTTGAAAGTAAATAAGCAGTTACAAGATCACAAAGAAAAAGAAATACAATAATAAACACATAACACAAATAAACTCAATTAAAACATTTTTCAAGAGTAGTGAGCGGTGAAAGTGGTTGTGAGTTAGCATTGGGTGCGACTGGGAGGGACAGGAAGAGTTGGTCGGCTGTAAGGGAAAGGTTGGGGGCTGTGGACTGCGGTGTGGAGGTTGTACGGGGCTGGGGCGGTGATTAGGTGGCAGGGAACTGGTTTGGCAAGGCTGGAACAGCAGCTAGGATGCAGGAAAGAGATTCAGTGAGGATGGGACAACAGAGAGGTGGCAGGAGAGGGGTTGGTTGGGTGTTGGATAGCGACGGTGAGAGATGGCAGCAAGGTGGGAGGGAGCTAGGTGATAGGTGGTTGCAAGAAAACAATGAGGGAGGTGTTTGCAAAGTGGCTGCAGCAAATACGGTGATGGCGACGGCGAAGGGAAGGGTGTTGGGCTGCGGGACAGCGAAGGAAGGGCTGTCCGAGGGTTGTGGCAGTAAGGGGGATGGTTGGAAAGAGGTTGCAGAAGAGTTGAATGGGATAAATATCTCCGCGGGATCGTGCTACTATCGGAGCATCATTCAAACCCTTGGAGAAGATTACCACCTCAGACAAGTTACGGCCGGAACATCTTCTCGCCTTCAAATACTGCCCTAGAGGGGAACATCATATGACGACAGCTGTCTTGACAGCAATTTGAGCTAAAAATTGACTTAAAACGCAGAAAATAACATATAAATAGTCTTAGGGTAAAGATGAGTGGTCTCCGCTCCAAATAGGAGGGAATCGGGTGCTAAGGAGGTATGCCCGATCACAATTCTACCTGAACCGAACCGGATGTGTGCGGCATTTGTTGCACCCGTGTTGGACTGGCACCCCCATGCCATTGCCAGTGCTCCCCCGTGTCATCTTGTCTCTTTGAAATACTAAGTATCTTTTAAGGTTGCAATGATGAATATATTTGGACTGCTTTCTTACTACTACAAGAACAGTTCTGCGATCATGCGTAGTTTGGCATGGGAAGAGTAGCATATTTCTGTCGTCGTTGTTGTTATTGTTAGTTTTTAGCAGTATTTTCAGTTCTTTAGGTTTTGAAAATTACTGCTGGTAATTTGTTATATTGAAAATGCAGGGATTAGATGCACTAGGCTTGGCGACTTTGGAATATGTTTCATCATCCTCTGCATCAATAATACCGTTTACAGTTCAAATATCCTCAGTCTCAATGGCTGCTGAAGATCGTACAAACTTGAGGACTTTAAGTCGTCTTTTCTTACTTCTATCCAGGCTTCAGAAACAAGATTATGCTGACGCAGTAAGCAAAATTTGTTTTTGGTTTGTTTTGAATGATCATTGCCGATTTCTTGAGAAATTGCATCAGATTTGTAGAATAAAAACTGCTTACAGGTTTTTTTTTTTCAAACAAATGTCTAGAAAATTTGCTAATAATTAACAGTAAACTCCTGAAGCCCCTAAGATTTGGCAAATCGTTGAATAGCTTATCTTATTAATTATACTTGCTTGAGGATAGCAGATGGGAATTTTTTCATTTTAATGCATTGTGAATAATATGCATTGTTTTAGATGGCAAATGAGTGGAACTACAACACACTCCACAATGGTAATCAATTCAAGTTAAGTGTGAGGCATGACATAGACGATCAATTCAGTTAGATACATTTCTCACTGACATTCATCCCGATTTTACAATCAAGAACGAGCAAGTAGCAAATTATTCTAAATTGTGACAACATATAACTACACTATTATTTTTTGGTCAATAAATTTATCATAATCAATGATAAGGAAGCGTGCATAATTTAAATCAACAAGACGTACTACGGAGCTTCCAAGAAATTTTATGAAAAATTTATATGTATTAGGATTAGTCTTTAATTCATATAATACAACAACAACAACAACAAATCTGTATTCCAGTAAGTGAGGTTGGCTACATGAATCCTTTTTCTCCATTGTTTCTTATTGAATGTCATATTTTCATTTAGTTCTAATAGATTAAGATCATTTTTTATACAACCAGCCCAAATCTTTTTAGGTCCACCTCTACCTTTCTTATCATAAGTTAAATCTAAAACATCTACTCCCCTAACAGAATCATTAGATGGTTGATGTTTTATGTGACCAAACCATCTAAGAGACTCTCAATCTTGTTTTCCATTAGAGCTACACCAACCCTACCAATGATATATTCGTTTTGCATCTTGTCTGTAAGTGTAAAGCTGCCCATCCACCTAAGCATTCTCATATGAGCAACATTTAACATAGTTTTATTCTTCTCTTTTATAGGAGAACATTCTGCACCATAAAACTTTGCAATAGTTTTATAGGAGAACATTCTCACGACCATCTTAAAAATTTTTCTTTAAATCTAAGCAATAGTTTTCTATCACACAATAAACCCGATGCATTCCTCCATTTCTACCATCCAACCTGAATTCTACTAATAACATCCACATCTTTATCACCATCACTTTGAACAATAGACCCGAGATTTCTAAAATGTTCACTCCTTTTAATGACTTTATTACCCATTGCTACAACCCTGCCCGTAGATCTATTACTACTAAAATTATATTTAATGTATTCAGTTTTAGTATACTCAAATGAAAGTCTTTTGCCTTTAAAGTAGACCTCCATAATTCAATTTTTTTCTGATTTTTCCTCTAGTCTTATCCACAAGAGAATATCAACAACGAAAAGCATAAACCAAGGTACATCCTCCTGTAAATGTCCTATAAGAACATCCATAACTAAAACAACAAGATATGGGCTTAAATATGATCTCTGATGAATTCAACCGAAATAGAAAAATATTCGTTCAATGCTCCTATTCGGACACGAGTAATAACTCTAGTATACATATCTTTAATGACTTGAATATAAGCTATATCAATACATTTCTTTTTTAGCACTCTCCAAATTACTTGTATTACTACATTCTCATAAGCCTTTTATAAATTAACAAAAATCATGTGTAGATCCTCTTGACTGTCTCTGTACTTCTCCATCAAACATCTCAATAAATGTATATTTTCCATAGTAGACTTGCCTGACATAAATTTAAACTGATTTTGAGAAATCTTTGTAACTTGTTTTAACCTATGTTCAATTACTCTCTCATAATTTTAATGTATGACACATTAACTTAGTTCCTCTATAATTTGCACACTCTTGTGCGTCTCTTTTATTCTAAAAAATAGATGGCAAAGTACTCTCTCTGTTCCTCAAGCATCATTTTAGTTTTTAAACTAATATTCAAAAGTTTAGTACACAAATAAATCCCTAAATCCTCTAAACGTTTTTACCCTTCTAATGGGATACCATGAGGTTCTATTGGTTTTCCACACTCTATTTTCCTTAAAGTCTCCCCAACTTCTGTTTTACTAATACGACAATAAAAATAAAAGAATTTATTATTATTAATTATTTTAAGATCACTAAAGTTGATCGTATTTTCAAAATCTTCATTAAATATCTTATCAAAATATCTCACTCACTTATCTTGAATATTTTTATTTAAGAAAATAAATTTTTTATTTTCATTTTTAATACATTTTATTTGAACTAATTTTTTCACTTTCTTGCCTATTTATTTGGCAAATTTATACATATATCTTTCACCCTCTTTAATATCTAATTTTTAATAAAGGTCACTAAAAATGGAATTTTTAGAATCACATACTACTTTCTTAGGCTTCTTACGAGCCCTCTTATATTTGTTTCAATTTTTTAAGTTCTTACTTTTAAACCAATTTTTATAACAAAACTTCATATATTTTATCTTTCTTTTTATATTATTATTCCACCACCAATTATTTTTATTTATAAAAGTTTTTTTAAATTTTTTTATTCTCCAAATACATCTTTTGCAACTACTTAATAGTCGTTATATTATCCCACATGGAATTAACTTCTTCATGAATATCTTAAATCTTAATATTAAAATAGGTTTCTTTATTTTTTTAAATGTCCCCATATAATTTTATAATAATATTTTATTATATTTTTCATCTTACTTGATCTCAAAAGTAAAAACTGATAATTGATATTGAATACTTAAAATTTTTCTTGGAATGACTCTACAATCTTTACAATTTTGACGATTTATTTATTCAATATGACCTAGCTTTATCATTTTGATGCAATAAGTAACAGAGGAATGATTCTGAACACTTCACAAATATTCGTGTCAAAATTTTCTTTTAGTTTTGTATCTCGAGTGAAGGAATTTGCTGGTTCAAAGGGAATTGTTTATTACCGCACTGAAGCTTTAGAATATAGTTATAGACGCAGTGTCCTGTCCTTGTTGCTATCTGCTTGATATTCACATGATGTTTTGTGCTCATCTGAATAAGATACTAGTTAGTTTGGTAGAGTGACCCATCCAAATTGATGTTACATGGAAATCATTTATTTAGGTGCTGCTTGGGATTACTTTTAACAATCACTCACCCTTTTTTTTTGAAGCAGTTATTTTATGCTTTTTTAAAGCTTATGAGCTTTCTTTTCATGTAAGCTTTGTGATTTTAACATGTGAATGCTTATTTCAGGAATCAAGAGATACTAATGTTGAAAATGATACAAAAATGGACAGGGAAGAGCTCTCCATGGTTCTTTATCAAATGACATCTGTGCAAGGCTTCTTGCCTATTTTTTCAATCATCCCAGAGGTAATGGGAAAAAATGCGTTTTAATTCATTTAATGAGATACCTTCCATATTATTTAAAGGCATTTACATACATACTACCCAGTTCTTATTTTCTTACATATCTAACACCTAAACTTCACTTTTTACATTTATACCACCCGAATCTTTCAAATCACAACAAAAATACCACTATTTTAAATTATAAAATGTGAAATGCACCTTTTTATGCATAGGTAAGTTGGTCATGTATATAAAAATTGAAGTTTGGGTGTTAGATGTAAATACATATGAATTGAGCATATGTATGTAAATCTTCCTAATGTTTAAAACTGCATGCCAGTCCCTCTATTTTAGGCATTTGCATCTATATGCAAAGGCACTATCACTAGCATGTCCTTTTATTTTTGGAAAATTTACATGCATACAAGTCAATTCTTTCATCATTATATATCAAACACCTAAACTTCAATTTTTGCATACATACCACCTTACCTACGCATGACAAGTTGTATTCCACTTTTTAAGAGTTAAAATGGTGGTATTTTTTATGTGTTATGAAAGACATGGGCGATATAAATATAAAAAAAAAAAAAATTCAGGTGCTAGATATATAAACACACAGAAATTGGGTGGTATGTATGTAAATGCCTCTTATTTTTATTATGTTTAAACTCACACATAGACTCAAATATGTTAGGCCTTGAACACGTAAGAATATTACATCAGTATTACGCACGTAGAGTTAACGTGCGTAGTCAGTGAAATCACGTCACGACACCCCGCGCCACAGCGGG